ACCAAATATATATAGGCCTAAAATATACTCCATATATATAAAGCAATGGTTAATATATACACTGGTAGTTGGTAAATCATTTAAAGGGATTGTACTTGTAGAGTCCAGTAGTAGTGTCAATGCAACTAGCTAGTTGCTAGGGACGCCATAGTTGATTGGGTTTGCGGTGTGTAAACATTTTGTTCTCTTGTACATAGTACAATACTATGTACCCAAGCTTACTACTACTACTACAAAGCTAGCTAGATAAGGCTTTGAGATCAATGAACTGGAAGTCAAGAACAGGAGAAATTAAAGGTGTTAATTAAAATCCAACCGGCTTTATTTTTCTCATATATCTGCATGTATAACATTGGCCAGATGTTATTCTTCAATGGCAGATTGGCAGCCATCATTCATTAAGCCTTATTATGCCATGCTTAATTCCTCAGACTACGAGAAAAAAAACTTAAAATGGTGCTTATATCGCGACGCTTTCAGGATTACATCACGGATAATAACCAAAGCAATGCAACCACACATGTGTCACTCAAAGAGAAAGCAAAAACGAATTACCATAGCCACCAGCAGACAGTTGAAATTCCTGATGGGATCGAGAAGATAATAGTCCATTCAGAATAAGGGCAAAGAAAAGGAAATAAGGGAAGGAAAAGAGAGAAAATGATGGAGGCCGCCGGATATTTTAATAAATTGGCCATGCAAAGCAGTCAAGTTGCGGATGGCTTGTAGTTTTCGGGTCAGTCAGGCGGTGGATGAGAAGCCTCTCCTTTTCTGCTCTCCATCAGAAAGCCTTATTCAGATGGGTGAAAGTGAAAGAGGCCCCTGCCTGGCTGCCTGTGCTGTGCTGTGCGCTTGCAGAATCTCGCCCGCCCTCGGAAGCATCGGAATATTTCAGGCACATCAACAAGTCCCCGGCACGTCGGCGTCACCGAACACAACAAAACTGGCAGCTAGTCCGTTTGGCGCCTCTGGGTGGGGTCTTACCGTCTATGCACTGCTCCTACGCAGGCCAGTCCTGTAAGTTGTTGAGTGGTAATAGGAGAGCTGGAGGCGAAGTGATAGAGAATGGTTAGTGCAGGAGATTCTCTGTCAGCCAAGAATCAGTCAAATCGTTGAACTTCATGCGTGCAGGAGAATTAAGTTAGCTAGATTTGAATCGGATGTGTTGAAGTTTTTCACGGCTCTGTTCAGGTCAGGTTCCTATTACGGTTCACTTCTCTTATAATCCGTCTTTTTCAGCTTGTTTTTTTAGTCGAAACAGTGTTTTTCTTTCACAACAAATTAGTCGAAACAGTGTTTCGACTTGTTTTTTCAGCAAGCGAACGGGGCAGTAGTAGTAGAATCAGCCTATCAGCTGCTGACAGAGTCGCTGCATGAACAAAATCAGCACACACGCAATGAAGCCAGAAGCATTTCTTATCGGAGAGCGATCAGTGGTGCTGTACTTTTAAACTCATTAGTTTAATGGCGCAATAATCAACACGAACGAAGATGCTTATCCACAAGGAAATTTTTCCCCGCCGCGCACGCAACCGAAATAGCACGTCAAATTAATTTACCGCTGGCTGATTCCCCGTCCAAATTAGGAGACTTTTCCCTGTGTGTCATTATAAAAGATCGTAATCCCCTGTGTGCCCCTGAAAAAATTCAGCGGTCTTCAGCGCCACTACTTCAACTTTTTCGTGTCCTCCATGCCACTTCCGTCAGTTTGGACGTTAACGTCGTCAAACTGCAGGTGTGAAAAGACGAAAATGCCCTTAAGTTCAAATATGTTATTAATTTTTTTGAGCATCTTAACGACTTCAAATGAAAAAACTCAAAACTAGAAAGTTGTAGATCTCGTCGAGATCTATAATTTTCATATAATTTTTTTTTTCATTTAATTCCGCAAAAAAAATAATATGATTTTTCTAAGATATATTAATCATATCAAATCATATTTTTTTTGCGAAATTAAATGAAAAAAAAATTATATGAAAATTATAGATCTCGACGAGATCTACAACTTTCTAGTTTTGAGTTTTTTCATTTGAAGTCGTTAAGATGCTCAAAAAAATTAATAACATATTTGAACTTAAGGGCATTTTCGTCTTTTCACACCTGCAGTTTGACGGCGTTAGAGCCCAAACTGACGGAAGTGGCATGGATGACACGAAAAAGTTGAAATAGTGACGCTGAAGACCGTTGAATTTTTTTAGGGGCACATAGGAGATTACGATCTTTTATAATGGCACACAGGGAAAAGTCTCCCAAATTAGCCGGTGTTATTAACAATCACCTGTTCACCTGTTCGCTTGGCTTATAAGCCATACTTTATCAGTCAACGAATAGTATTTTTTTCTCATAACAAATCAGCCAATACTTTCAGCCGTGGCTTATGAGCCAAACGACGAGGGCAAATAACCATTGCAGCTCGTGCTTTCTCTCTCGCATTCAGGTAAGCTTAGAAAAGTCGTGGAAAAGAATCCTGAAACCCCAGGAATCTCCCGAAGAGGAAGAGAACGAACGAGGACAGAGAAGTCGCGGAGTAGTTTAACCATTTCGCACCGTAGATTCAGGGTATATTCCTTGCGGCCTCACCTCGCTGCTTTCCCGTTTCGGCAGGCAGTGATCGCACAGCTGAGAGAGATGACTACCTGTCTCTCACGTATCTGCAATGTACTGGCCATCAGACCTTGCCACAGTATAATAGTATAAATACAACCTAATTTATCAGAGATGGGCCAGCTGACGTGCACCAGTAATCTGCCATTCGCGCTCCATTAGCAGCCAAGCATTTCCATCCGGACCAGGTGCTGCCTGTTGAGTATTTTACAGTTGAGGAGCCTTCAGAGTGTTATCAGAATTGGAAAGAGTTCTTCCAGGGGCTACCAGAATTGGTCCAGCCCACGGCCATCCAGGTGGCCCCAGAAAGGAAACAGAGGGGCAGAGAATGAGAGAAGCAGATCGAAAGGAGAACCGCTTTGACGCTGGCTTCTTGGCTTCAGGCGGCTTTGCTCACTGCATTATCGGTGCATATGATATGTTATCTTTGGTGCTGAACTTATCTGCTTCATGATTGTTCGCCTTGCCTTTCTCAGTTCAGTGTGTTATCAAGAAGCCTGGGCAGTGGGCAGGCACGCGTACACAAGTATATTCAAGAGTAGCAGTGGTGGCTGACTGAACGTGCCTTTTGTGATGGAGAATTTACTGGTTGTTTAGCGGATAATGTGTTCCAAACTTGGCTTCTAGCTGGGAATGAAGGCCGGGATACGGTTGGCAGGGGATAAAATATATAGGATGACAAACACGTTAGCGTAATGAGCTCGTGGAATGGATATGGGCATGATATCATGTGTCTTTGGAGGATTTGGTTTATAAACGAGCAGGGCACAAGATTTGATGGGTTTCTTTAGGCTGGAAAAGACTTAACATATGTTGATCTCTCAGTGGACTACACTGCTAATTTTTTCACGAATGTGTCTGCGACACGAGTTTCATTAAGAACTACACTGCTATTTGAAAAGGAGGAGGGAGAGCGAGAGGCGACCCAAGCGTGGTTGGGTTCTTGTTGCGGAGCTTTTGGACTATCCTAATGGGTACTCGCATTTTTATTAATTTATTTATTCCGTACTAGTAGACGTCATGCCCACGGCGAAGCAAGGTGTTCACAGGTTGATAGTGAATGCATCTGGTGACTTTATATCTTGAGATCTGTAGGTTGTTTTTCATTGACTTTATCAACAGCGGAAAAAAGATGGAGAGATCGATGTGGATGAAATGGGCTTTGTGGGCTGTTCTTCTGCTGCTTTTGGTTCCGCCATTCCGGCAGTTAACGTGGGCTTCAAACCTTTCTGTATCCGACTCCTTCATTCATTTTCTGCTGACATAACTGTCGTAAAGGCTCATATGCTTTCATGGGCATCTCACCCGATGTATTGCCTATTGGGCCGCATTATTGTACAATGACTTTGCGGGCCGTGCCAAGACCGCCGTGTCAGTTCACGTCTGAAGGGACATGTATGCTGATTAGTGATTAACTAGAAAACCTGGCGCGGCGTTGCCGCGCCACCTCTGAGCCGACCAATGCTGATTTTTTATGATTCTATGTAGAGTTTAGGAGCTTTAGAATTTGATGAAGGAACAATATATGGTTATTCTGAAGACGTGATTATATAGAATAGTGGTTACTAATCATGGTATATAAAGATGTGATTTGGCCAAAGTGTTTTTTGGGACCATGGGCTAGTTTGGTACAGCTTATAAGCTGCTTATGGCCAAAATAAGCTGAAATCGACAGCCAAACGTCACGCTTTTCAGCAGCTTATTCTAGCCACGCTTATTCACACAGCTCCCATTTGTACTAAAAAGCAGAAGCTGGATCAGACCAGCTTATTTTGACAGCCGCTTTTACTCTATTTGTGCAGCTTATCTGGGAAGCGCTTCCTAAATAAACTGTACCAAACAGGGCCCATGTGAACTTGTTTCAAGCTTATCAGCTTGTCACACAATCTAATTTGTACAAAATTCAGCACAGATACATTAGCAGTAGTTTTAACTAAACCACTGTGCACATGATCTAGTGACATCTTAGTAGAGTACCATGGTATTGTCTCTCATGACACCTGAAATTCATAAACCTGTCAGAGCAAGATTTTATAGTTTGGTATTCTGAAAATTTAAACACTAAAAGTTGATAGAATGATCGATGGGCCTAGCAAGAAACAATAGAATTGACTGGTGCCAAAACCAATTTGCATTCAGATAAACAGTCATTTTTGTTAACAATATCGAAGATAACCACACTGATCAGTCATCGAGCATAGTGGAGAATCTGAAATTTTGAAGACCTTGAATGTATAGCCCCATGACTTACAAGTGTTTTTTTAGAAGAAAAAAAAAGTTTGTTTCCCTGAAGGCGCAGGAGCAATACATTTATAATTGCAGCCCAAATTGATTGGTATCACTTTAGAATCCCTGCCACTTTGAATTGCTTGGCTAGGCCAACCAGCTAATTAACCATGGTGCGTTCTGCAAATGCTCTTCTAGATGGCATCAAGGTCACGTTGCCGTTCCGAGTTCACATATTCAGTGTTCCTCTCACCACCCATCGTTGCAACCTCACCCTGGCAAGTGTACCATGCCTCTGTATCAGTCTTCCATTCCATAGTTTCATGACAGCACTGCTGACAATCTTGCTTTCAAGGTTGAAATCACGCGCACAGGTCAGGTCGTTTAGCTGCAAGACGAACTCATATCAAAGCAGTATTGGAAAGATCAGAGTCCGAGAAACCATGAGGTGAAGGCACAGAGATACAGCAAGCCAAGTTGCAATAACACGGCATAATTTTCTCATCTTTTCTTTTCGACATAGAGGCAACACAGCTCGACACTGTTAGTCTGGGCATTTCCTAGCTTCAGAACCAAGACCATGGTAGACTTTCAGATTCATGTAAGCTTGCAAGTATTTACTATTTAGCCTGAGTCAGACCCTCTCGCAGAGCTGTCTTACTAATTTTGAGCATCCAACAAGACTGAACAGCAAGTAAGTATGGCAATTTGGCACCAATGTATGAATGAGCAATGGCAAGCTACAGTACAACAAATGATTCAGAACTCTGCAGTAACACATAATGCTGGGACGGCACTATATTTTTCCTGATTCTTATGTTCTTGGTATTTCCGTTTGCTGATCATATGGCTGGATTAAGATTTTAGAGAACTGATAGTTTGACCTAATATCGTACTGCATTTAAAGAAGTGGAAATTAGGTTGTTACTAATTGGGATTCCAAAATGTAGTCTCCTAAATTTAATTTGATCATTGATGCATCAAGCTGTCAAAAATATAGCTAAATGTATTACGGTCAAAGGCATAGAGGACGGTGTCAGAGGATTTTGTCGATCTCCTTATGCTCCTCCTGTGCCCTCCCTTTCTGCTCTTCTGGGCAATAGTCACCTTCATCGCCAGTGTTATTCTACCTATGTTATCACCATCTGTAGTTAACTTCTGAAATTTCACACAAGCCCGATTTGATCCACTGGCTTCACTTCTTGCCCAGGCCTGTTGGTGCATCCTCGTGAGATTTGGAATTTTGGCTAACTAGTGGCATGTTGCTGCGGCCCGGAGGCAGTGGCGGAGAGACGATAGTGTGTCTCATGGCTTTTTTCTTAACAGAAAAGGGGGGACAACAGCAGGAAATCAACGCACTTTTGCTGTCGCAGCTAACGCTCGCGTACCTGGCTACCTGCAGCGGAGGCCACCCCGTGCCGCTCGCGTACCTGGCTATCTGCAGCGGAGGCAACCCTGTGCCGCTTCCTACGGCAACGCAGGAGAAACCCTCAGACCTCGGAGCTCAGGCTTGCGCGAACCGGGGCAAGGGCCAAGCCTAGCGGACAGAGAGCGATGGACATCAGCGGCAGGGCAAGCAAAGTATGGAGGGTGCGGGTGCAGTGGGCAGCGGAGCAAACGAAGAAACGGAGGGGGATGAGTACCAGCGAGCTCGCGAGGGAAGCGACGGCGGCAGAGAAGGGACGATGGGCGGGGCACCCAACTCTCTCGAAGGACCATGACGCTAGGTACCGAGGCCTGAGATCAACGGCAGATGAAAAGCTGGTTCTAGGATCGGACGGTTGTGAAATCAAGATGACGTGGCCCAATATAATGCAAGAGCTTGAACTCTGATTTCGAAAGGTAAAGATAGTGTGTTTATATTCGAAAGGTAAAGATAGCGTGTTTATATTTATACTATAAAGTAGAAGATGCAGACAAGGAGAGCGGTGGTCCGAGCATGAGCGGTAATCACGTTGCCTGAGTGCCAGTGCAATTGAAAGGTTGGGCAACAAATATGTACCTAAATGGTGAAATAAAAACATATCTGGTCTGTAGGTATCATACTATGTTCCTGATCGCTAAGCTAAAAAAACCATGGTTGAAAGTACTATTCGCTGATTTATTATGAGAAAAAAAAAACCATGGTTGAAAGTACTATTCGCTGATTTATTATGAGAGAAAAACACGGTCTTAACAGGGCCTACGAATAAAGATGGCACCGATACCCGACGGGTATTTGATCCATTAGAGGATGGGGATGTAATCATATCTTTACCCGCGGGCATCTAAATGGACAAGAATCCATCCCTGACGGGTATAGCGGGTATAGGAACGTTCCCTGTTTACCCGTCCCCGTTACCCGCTGGTGAACCCGACTATTTGAGCTGTCATGCGGGTATTAGGCCCAAAGAAGTTCAACATAGGTATTTTGGCTCAAATCTGAATAATCATATATATAGTTTGTGTGTTCTATGAACCTTAGTTCAATTTTTCCACATCATCTCCGTCAGCAGCACAAGCACGCCTGCCTCACGAGCGCTCGTGCCCCTCGCTTCCTCAGTTCGGTCTCTCTGTCACCTTTGCTCATCCTCCTCGCAACCTCGCTTCTTCTCCTCGGCATCTCCGAGACTCCGACACTTATACCCGGGTGAAGAAGAAACGTCTCCGATTGCAAAGCTGCGACCCCAAGTGTCCTTGTTTATCGGATATGCAGTACCCGTCGGGTATCTGTTACCCGACTGATGCCCGACGGGTACGGGGATGGACAAAAACCTATACCCGAGACAGTTAACGGGAACGAAAGACGGGATAAATTCTCCGTAGCGGGAAGAAAATGTTCCGACGATACCCAACGGGTACATCCCGTTGCCATCCTTACCTACGACGGAGTCCCGACGCAGTCGAAGCCAGGAGCACATGATCACCCACGAATTCATACTTTTGCACATACAACAACTGCAAGAGGTCGTCAGCTCATTCATGCCCATTTACATTTTACAGGACAAAGCCACCTACCAGCGATCCCAACAACTCCTGCATGGCAATGGCTTTTGCTTAGCGTGAGACATCGGTTTTAAAGGCGGCGCAAGCAGCGGCGATAGTATGTTGATCATCATTCGGTGATGGTATTATTAGGTTGGTTTTGCAGAGTGACGTCGCTTGTGCGTAGCAGCGAACTCAACGTCCGAAGGCAGCCCGGGCGAACCACAGCCAGTCATGAGACTGCACGTATATATATTTTTAAAGTTGCATCAGTACTCTACAGCAGAGCGAGAGACAAATACATCAGCGTACACCGGTGCTAGAGCTCGGACGATGGTATGTTTGTGTGCTTATTGTTCTTTCTTGAAATAATACCAACTACATGTTCATGAATGTCACTACTTATTACCACTAACCTATACTTCCAATTCTATCAGCAACATCTTAGCCCTAAGTTTGTTCTCATTTCTAATCATCCTACCATTGTCAAGATATCATTCAAATAGTAAAGGCCCGTTTGGAGGGGCTCCGGCTCTGGCTACTATAGCACCACTGTGGAGGAGCCGCCGGAGCCTTCAAACACAGGCTCCTCCACGTTCCTATTTAAAAACTGTCAGAGCCGGAGCTACTGCAATGGCTGCTACAGGTTTGCACAGTGATGCACAGGACATGCGCAGCCGGAGCCGGAGCCCTGCGGAGCCAAGCGAAACGAGGCCTACTCTCATACTAAGTCATAACTCAGAGATGAATGCTTACGTATAAGGCATGTCTGGACCCAGTTGAGTCCAAACCTACATGATGTGCTGGTAACTGTTTCTCCCAAATACATGATGTGCAGGTAACTGTTTCTCCCAAATGTAAAGTTCTCTCCAGACAAGACAAAGATGGCATCATTTCAATTTCATAAGTCGTAACCAATTGCTAGGCGCTTTTATTTGTAGGCCTACTAGCTCTGACACGGGTATGGATTGATAAATATACTTCCACTGAGGCCTTATTTAATTCCAGGGTGTAAAGTTTTGAGGTGTCATATGGGTGTTATATGGGGTGTTTGGATACTAATAAAAAATAAATTACAGAATCGGTCAGTAAACCGCGAGACAAATTTATTAAACCTAATTAATCGGTCATTACCACATGTGTGTACGGTAGCACTTTATTGTCGAATCATGGACTAATTAGCCTTAGAAGATTCATCTCGCAAAGTAGTCGTAATTTGTGTAATTAGTTATTTTTTAAGTCTATATTTAATACTTCATGCATGTATCAAACATTCGATAGATATGGTGTAAACTTTTTGGGGAGGAACTAATCAAGTCCTTAGTCAATCTTAACAGATGTTTCAGGATGAAAATTGAAAAAAAATCATATTACACATAATTTATAGCTCTGTCCCCGTCCTATGACTAGGCTTGCATTCTGATGTAAGGATTTCAATATTAGAGTCAAATAAGTCAGCAATGTTGGCCTCAAGTATTGACAAGTGTGTATCTAGTTACGACGTTTATGGCATAACTGATAGATAATTTGTTTGATATCGATGCCTTGATTCTCTTTTACTATCATACCACTGAGAGATGGGAACAACGCCCTTATCCTATACTGTATTTACATTTCCTCGCAAAAAAAATACCGAATTTACATTCTGGGCACCACAATGATACTTGCACTTTGCATGTGTAGGGGCCCAGAAGGAGCTATGGCTAAGGGAAATGAACATCGACGTGCGTGGATGCCAGAAGCTTTATCACATTACAATCCTTTTCGTTGTTGAGTTGTGGCACATTTTTAGCCATTCGTCTCATATAGGCAGATTTCTGGCAGCCAACTACCTTTTCAGATCACAAATTCTTCGATGAAATGCCTGTCATTTCCTTTTATGGATGTTCGCCAGGCCATGTACACATCCATTCATATCTCCGGACATGCTATAATCCTGTGGCAATTTTTAAACACTGAACGTGGTCTGATCTTCATACGGAAATTTAAGCCCATCTAGCATTTGGTTGGTTATCAAGCATGGAAAATATCTTTTCTACACTAGTATTTTAATCTATTGCTACGTTGTATTACTCTTGTGACAAGAACTGAGACAACTAGCATTTACTCCCTCTTTCCCAAAATAAATATATTTCTAGAGTGTAGGTGAAGAGATCAAGGTTTGTGAGAAATTACATATATGCCCTACAAAGCTGTAATCATTGCACCTTGAGAAGTGATAAAATAGAAAAAGACAAGTAAAATTAGTTTGTCATATATCTAAAGGTGTATTTATTTTGGGAAAAATTTTGAACTCTAAGAATGTACTTATTATGGGACGGAGGTCGGAGGGAGTAGTTCCTGTATAAACCTAAAAAAAAAATACTGCTTCATAATTGGCAGGACTCTAACCACACCGGACATCTGGACCTAAGAGCGAGAGATAGAAGTACTCGTAGATAGTAGGTACTAGAAAATTCCAGAAATCGGGCCCAGATCAGGCCCGGGTCTTCAGAAGTGACCTCCACTAATCACTTCTCTCCCGGATGCATGCATGCCACGCCCGACCGCTGGATGGGCTCCTTGCTACGTGCACTGACAGTCTGACACGGCGATACGCTGAATGGTGAATTTAACACGAGCCGGGGGCGTTTGATACCCGGACTAAACTTTAGCCTTGTCGTATCACATGTTTAACATTAATCTAGAGGGTGTTTGATCGTTTAGTCGTTCCTAAAATTTATGTCACATCGAATATTTATATACTAATAAGGAGCATTAAATATAGATTAATTACAAAAACCAATTACATATATAGAGGCTAATCTGCGAGACGATTTTTTAAGATTAATTAATCCGCCATTATCATATATTTACTGTAGCACCACGTTGTCAAATCATGAACTAATTAGGCTTAAAAGATTCGTCTCGCAAATTAGTCACAAGTTGTATAATTAATTTCGTAATTAATCTATATTTAATACTATATGCATATGTCTCACATTCGATATCACGAGGATTTTAGGAGCTTCCGAAGAAAAACAAATAGGCCCTCTATTAAAGGGGCAGGTTGTGGACCGTCCACATGCCACTAAGCTGGCCACCATGCTATAAAGCTGGTTATGCGGAAGCCCGCCAGCCGCAAGGTTATTGCCGCGAACGTCCAATGGACTGGTGGACAAACGTTTCAAGCTCACTAACGTCCGCAACCAGGATGACCACGTAGTACCTGCACAGATCAAACAAAGAATGCATCAGCTCTCGATGATACGATCGGCAGGAACATGCATGTCATGCCATGGCAAGCCTGAATAGTGAATTCCCAGAGCGAGGCCTACACGAACGCAGGCGTGTCCCTGAACTTGGCCGTGAAGGTCTGCGTGAGAGGCCTGGTGGCTGGTGCCGACGACGGCGACCACGGCGGTGTAGGACTGGGCGTTGAGCGCCGTCACCGAAGTTGAATAGTCTATTAAAAATTCTATAATAATATTAAAACAAATGATTAATAAATAAAATAGCAAAATGAATTTTATGCTAGCACTATACTTGTGTTGCAAGCCACCTACCCAATTCTAATATCTATGATCTCTAGTATATCACACAAGAGCTAAGTCATTAATTTACACCTAGATGATCAAACTAGCTAGAGAACTACGACTAAAGAGCTACACTAGCTACAACTACCACAAACACTACACAAGGTAAATACACAAAGTAATACAAAAGAATGGTAGAAGTGATATACCGCCGTGGCAAGTAATCAATTAATAAATACTAAAGAATACCAAAGAGACAATGCTGACACAATCAATTTTTCTTCCGAGATTCACTTGATTGACGGCAAGCTAATCCCCGTTGTGACGATTCACTCACTTGGAGGTTCACGCGCT